TCCTCCTCTGGCTGTCTCTGGGCGCCCGCTCCTCCTCTGGCTGTCTCTGGGCGCCCACTGCTCCTCTGGCTGTCTCTGGGCGCCCGCTGCTCCTCCTCTGGCTGTCTCTGGGCGCCCACTCCTCCTCTGGCTGTCTCTGGGCGCCCCGCTCCTCCTCTGGCTCGGGGCGGGCGCCCGCTCCTCCTCTGGCTGTCTCTGGGCGCCCGCCCCGAGCCAGATGTCCCTAGCGCCCCGGCGCGTCCCCGCCGCCTCTCCAGGTCAATGGGGTGTCCAGTGCGAACCTGTCCCTGAGCGACACGCGGCGGCTCATCGAGCAGTCAGAGGGGGAGCTGACGCTGCTGGTGCTGCGGGACAGCGCGCAGTTCCTGGTGAACATCCCTCCCGCGGTGAGCGACAGCGACAGCTCGCTGATGGAAGGTGAGGGCGGGCCGCTCGGCGTCCCGGGGCTCGGGGGCTCGGAGAGGGCCGGACCGACCTCCAGCCGCACGGCAGGCGCAGCCCGCATCCCGCGGGGTTCGGGGGGGGGGGCTCGGGACGTCCCGTGTGCGGTCCCGCGGGGCGCGGGTGAGCCCGGCTGACCTGCTGCCCCGACCCACAGACATCTCGGACCTGAACTCGGAGCTGTCCCAGGCGCCCCCGTCCCACGTCCCTCCGCCACCTCTGCAGGGTCCGCCGAGCCCCGAGCCCAGCCAGACAGACTCGGCAGAGTGAGTGCCGGACGGGGGCGGTGAGGCCGTTCCAGGGGGGGCCGTGCAGAGGCCCCCCGACTCACTGGGCTCTCATCCCACCCAGGGAGAGCCCACAGCCCCGGAGGCGGGACCGGTCGGTGGATTCCAGAGCCGTCGCTGAACCGGGTGAGCGCGGGCAGCTGGACACCCGTCCTCACCCTTCCTCACCCGTCCTCACCCTTCCTCACCACCACAGCCACCCTGAGCCAGGGGGGAGGAGAGGATGCGGGAGACCTTTGGTGGGGGAACCAAACCTAAGGCGAAAGGCAGGGCCAAGCTTGTAGAGGGGGCTGGGGGCGTGGTCAGGTGGAGCCCCACCCAGCACCCCGAGCTGGGCTGGCCCTTCGTGTCCCCTGAAGAGTGAATTTCCGGTTCTCCTTGCAGAGGATCCTGGAGAAAGTCGCTATGACATCTACCGGGTCCCCAGTCGGCAGAGCCTGGAGGACCGTGGGTGGGTCGCTCAGATGAGCCCGCGCTTCCGGAGGCCGCCAGTCCCGTAGCCGGCCCCCCACCCCACCTAACACCCTGCTTGTCTGGGCCGCCTGGGACCCGAAGCCGGTAGGGCGCGGGCCTCCCCTCCACGGCCTCATCGCCCTCTTCTCCGTAGCTACAGCCCGGACACTCGCGTCGTGCGCTTCCCTAAGGGTGCGAGCATCGGCCTGCGCCTGGCCGGCGGCAACGACGTGGGCATCTTCGTGTCCGGGGTGCAGGCGGGCAGCCCGGCCGACGGGCAGGGCATCCAGGAAGGGGACGAGATCCTGCAGGTGACGCGGGGACAGCTGGCCCCGATCCTCCCCCTCTCCCGAGTCACCGCTGGGGACGCATCCCGTTTGTAGCCCAGGCTGGCCTGGAGCTCGCTGCCCCACCCCCTCAGCCTCTCGAATGCTGGGATCACAGTCCTGCGCCCCGTGCCTGGCCGTTTTCATGGGCGCCAAGGGTTCGAACTCAGGTCCTCATGCTGGGTAGCGAGTGCTGTGCCCGCTGAGCCCTCGTGAGCCCCAGAGTTTTTACACAGTGGTGCTGTGGGGTCCCCTTGATGCCACCCGAGGCCAGACTTGGCTGTGCGTGCTGAGCCCGGCTCCTCCCCCGGTCTGTGTCACCCTCTGGCCCCCCCCCCCCGAGGCCAGACACCGGGGAGGCCGAGTCCAGGGCGGCTCAGTCCGGACACCGGGGAGGCAGAGTCCGGGGTGCCCGGGGTGACTCAGTCTGGACACCGGGGAGGCAGAGTCCGGGGCGACTCAGTCCGGACACCGGGGAGGCAGAGTCCGGGGTGCCCGGGGCGGCTCAGTCCGGACACCGGGGAGGCAGAGTCCGGGGCGCCCGGCGGCTCCCCTCGCGCCTCGCGCCCTCCTCACCTGTGCGCTTTCCCGGCAGGTGAATGGCATGCCGTTCCGGAACCTGACCCGGGAGGAGGCCGTGCAGTTTCTGTTGGAGCTGCCGCCGGGGGAGGACATGGAGCTGGTGACGCAGAGCAAGCAGGACAGTGAGTGTCCCTGAGGTGTCCCCGCAGGCACCCGGCCCCGCAGGAGGAGCCGGACCTCCAGGCCTGGCCAGTTCTGGGGATGTGGAGACGGGAGCAGCCCCGGGGTCGGGCCAGCTTGGCAGACCTGGAGAATCCGGTGTCAACCGGTTTCCACTGGCCACCGTGGGGGCGCACACCTTTAGTCCCGAGTTCGAGGCCACCACGGTCCACACAGTGAGTTCCAGGACAGCCTGGGATACATATGAGACCCTGTCTTGAAAATAAAGACTCCAAGCCAGCGGGTCGGTGAGCCCAGCCCGGGCTCTTTCCAGGACCTGCAGGGACGGCGCCCGGTGTCTCCCCGGAGGCCCCTGGAGGGAGCCCCGTGGAGCTCACGAAGCCCCTCTGCGCTCAGTCTTCAGGAAGATGGTCCAGTCCCGCGTGGGTGACTCCTTCTACATCCGCACACACTTCGAGCTGGAGCCGAGCCCGCCCTACGGCCTGGGCTTCACCCGGGGCGACGTCTTCCACGTGGTGGACACCCTGTACCCAGGCTCGGGGCCGGGCCACGGCGGCCGCGGGGGCCTCTGGCTGGCTGCCCGCATGGGCCGAGATCTCCGAGAGCACGAACGCGGCGTCATCCCCAATCAGAGCAGGTGGGGGGGGCAGTGCTGGGGGCTCCCTGGGGGGGTCACAGTGGGGCGGGGGGGGGCGGCCCAGTGCTGGGGGCTCCGGGGGGGGGTCCACAGTGGGGCGGGGGGGGAGCGCGCGGCACCCACTGTAGTAACCGAGCACGGATAGCGGGGCTTTTGGTGTTGTTTGGGGTGTTTTTTGTTTTGTTTTTGTTTTGGGGTGACAGGGTTTCTTTGAAGCCTTTCCTGGAACTCACTGTAGCCCAGGCTGGCCTCGAACTCACAGAGATCTCCTGCCTCGGCCTCCCGAGGGCTGGGGTTAACCACCACCGCCCGGCCTGTCATGGCTTTCTTTATTCCTTTCCGAGGCCGAGTTCCCTCCCAGGGTCCAGGCGTCCCCAGTACCAGCGTCCAGAGCCCCACGGCCTTGGC